TTTCAAATAGTTAATTTGATACTAATATCGATATATTTTTGTCAATTTTTTATGATATCTTCAAACATATATTTTATTCAAAAATAAAAACATCATTGTTTTCTCAAAATCACATAAAGTCATATTATAACATCGACTGAGATTAGAAATAGATTTGATTGATCTAAGTTCATACAATTTATTAAACCTAAAGGAGCATGAGTCATATATTCTGCGGAACGAAACTGCGGCAGTTAAGAAATTGCAGCCTTCCAAATAGGAACTGAACAGTTTGAAATAACTTCTACTTACAAAAGAAATTTATATAGAATTTAAGAATAAAATGAAATATTAAAATCATGATGTATCTCGCTGCATTACGCGAGTACGCTTCTAGTATTGTATATATATATATATATTTATAGATTTTAATTTTAATATTTTACTTTAGAAGAATTATAGCATAGTTGTTGAAGATGCTCTAAAATTTTAACAAATGTCCCCTTACAATACTATTGATCAAAAGTTTAGAACCTTAAAGCAATTTTTAGAAGAACTGAGGTATAAACTGACAGATTGAGTAAAAAAGCAGGGTGGGATTTGTAAATTATTCAAAAGTTAAAACTAATAGAAGGATCTAGAAACCCTAGCGACCTGACTATATAAATTCGCAACCAATAACCAACGCCCCACACTTGCGCTTTTCTCTAAACCCTAGACTTCGTCATTTCATCTACGATTACCTGATCGTCGTTGTGGAAGATCTGATCGTCGTCGAAGAAACAACAATGGCGGATGCAGAGACGTTTGCTTTCCAAGCCGAGATCAACCAGTTGTTGAGTCTCATCATCAACACTTTCTACAGCAACAAAGAAATTTTTCTCCGTGAGCTTGTTAGCAACGCCTCCGATGTGAGCCTCTCTCTCTCTCTCTCTCTGTATCTCTTTGTACATTTTTCCCTTTGATCAATCGTTTATATGAGGTTGTTTATGCAAAACCTTTGCATGTTATTGATTTATTTGTTTTCCGTGGAAATGGGAGAGCAGAGCGTGCATCAATGTGAATGTATATTTAATTTGTTGCTATTGTTTGTCTACTGTTCCATAATCATCTTACATTTGATTTTATTCTGTTCTTCTTCTTTCTTCAGCCATTTGTTTCTACGTCATTACTTCATCAGATTTTATGATTTGTGTTCCCAAGTGTAGAACTGACTATCTACTTCTTAGCGTCTGTTGATGAAAAATTTGATCTTATGATATTTGTATTTGCTGATACTCGACTCACAATGCTTTGAGTACCTTGCGTTTTATTCTGCAATCTATGACGCATCACGCGCGGTTAAAAATGCATATAATTTGAATGACAGAGGTACGAAGTTGATTACGAGATGGATATTTATTTGTAGTTTGGTCCACAGGACAATCTATGATGTACACCTCAATGTTAGTAAATCCTGTTAATTTAAAACTTAATAATCTATGACGAACACCGAACACCACAAGGTTAATAAATGGTATTGATTTTGTAGTTTGTTCCAAAGGATCTTAAGATACGGTGTTTATATTATCTGCCTAAAATGGTAATTGGTTCAAGTGCTGTAACGAATTTTCTATTAGGTTGGCATTACTGTTCTTTACTTGTCGTTTTTATACATTGAAATACCTTTATTCTGCAATGTTGGTTTATTTATGGCTTGCTACTGTAAATTACGTTAGCGATCTTTCTTATATGAACTTGTAATGTGTTGTGTAGGCCTTGGATAAAATTCGTTTTGAGAGCTTGACTGATAAGAGCAAGTTGGACTCTCAACCAGAGCTCTTCATCCACATTATTCCTGACAAGACCAACAACACATTGACCATTATTGACAGTGGTATTGGGATGACAAAAGCTGGTGCGTAAATCATAAAGATGGTTTTGGGTTTATGATTGTCATTGGTATTTATTAGATGTACTGACCTGTATGCTAATCTTCTGTTATTTTTTCAGATTTGGTTAATAATCTGGGTACCATTGCTAGATCTGGTACCAAGGAATTCATGGAAGCTCTTGCTGCTGGTGCTGATGTTAGCATGATTGGACAATTTGGTGTGGGTTTCTATTCTGCCTACTTGGTTGCTGAGAAGGTTATTGTCACAACAAAGCACAATGATGATGAGCAGTATGTGTGGGAGTCTCAAGCTGGTGGTTCATTTACTATTACCCGAGACAGTGGTGAGCCACTTGGTAGAGGGACAAAGATTACCCTCTTTCTAAAGGAAGACCAGCTTGAGTATCTTGAGGAGCGCAGACTCAAGGATCTAATCAAGAAGCACTCTGAGTTCATTAGTTACCCAATCTCTCTTTGGGTTGAGAAGACAACTGAGAAGGAGATTTCTGATGACGAGGATGAGGAAGAGAAGAAAGAGGAAGAAGGCAAAGTTGAGGAGGTTGATGAAGAGAAGGAGAAAGAAGAGAAGAAAAAGAAGAAGATCAAGGAAGTGTCACATGAGTGGTCGCTAATGAACAAACAAAAACCCATCTGGATGAGGAAGCCAGAGGAGATCACTAAAGAAGAGTATGCAGCTTTCTACAAAAGTCTTACCAACGATTGGGAGGAGCACTTGAATGTGAAGCATTTCTCAGTTGAAGGGCAGCTGGAATTTAAGGCTGTTCTCTTTGTACCCAAGAGGGCACCTTTTGATCTCTTTGACACAAAGAAGAAGCCCAACAACATCAAACTCTATGTCCGTCGTGTCTTCATCATGGACAACTGTGAGGAAATCATTCCCGAATACCTTTCATTTGTCAAGGGTATTGTGGATTCTGAGGATCTTCCTCTAAACATATCGAGAGAAATGCTGCAACAGAACAAGATCCTGAAAGTTATTCGCAAGAATTTGGTGAAGAAATGCATTGAGCTCTTCCAGGAGATTGCAGAGAACAAGGAAGACTACACAAAATTCTACGAGGCTTTCTCCAAGAACCTAAAGCTTGGCATCCACGAGGATTCCACAAACAAAACCAAACTTGCTGAATTGCTACGATACCACTCCACCAAGAGCGGTGATGAGATGACTAGCTTGAAAGATTACGTGACAAGGATGAAGGATGGGCAGAACGACATCTATTACATCACCGGTGAAAGCAAGAAGGCTGTAGAGAACTCTCCATTCCTTGAGAAGTTGAAGAAGAAGGGATACGAGGTTTTGTACATGGTTGACGCCATTGATGAGTATGCTGTTGGACAGTTGAAGGAATTTGAGGGAAAGAAGCTTGTTTCTGCCACCAAAGAAGGCTTGAAACTTGAAGAAACCGAGGACGAAAAGAAGAAGCAAGAATCTCTGAAGGAGAAATTTGAGGGCCTTTGCAAGGTGATCAAGGACGTCCTTGGTGACAAAGTTGAGAAAGTGGTTGTTTCCGACCGTGTGGTGGACTCTCCTTGCTGTTTGGTTACAGGTGAATACGGGTGGACCGCCAACATGGAAAGGATCATGAAAGCTCAAGCTTTGAGGGACTCGAGCATGGCTGGATACATGTCCAGCAAGAAGACCATGGAGATCAACCCCGAGAACCCGATCATGGAGGAGTTAAGAAAGAGAGCAGATGCTGATAAGAACGATAAGTCAGTGAAAGACTTGGTTCTGTTGCTGTTCGAGACTTCATTGTTGACATCTGGATTCAGCCTTGATGAACCCAACACATTCGGGAACAGGATCCATAGGATGTTGAAGCTGGGACTGAGTATCGATGAAGATGCTGGTGGCGAGGGTGATGCTGACATTCCAGCTCTTGAAGAGGCTGATATTGATGCTGAAGGGAGCAAGATGGAGGAAGTTGATTAAGGAGATGGATGATTCATTTTGTTTTGGTTAGTTTTTAATTATTATTAATATTTTGATGAAGACAATTCTATGGATGTTTTTGCATATTTTAATATCATCGGTATTTAAGTTGTTTTTGGCATCATCAGTTCACGTGTCGTACAATCTTGGTATATGACACTCCACATTTGTGCTAAAGTTGATATCCATGGAATGTTCTGGATGGAGGATCATGTGGAAATTTTTGCATTTTCGGCTTTTTATACACTTAATAAAAGCTGTAGAAACATCTCTTTTGAACAGATGTCGGATATAACTTATCCTTTCCATGTATCAATTGGTTTTATTTGGCAAGTGATTGTTGAAGATTGGCAAAGGGGCTGCTTACCAAACGTACGTTTATCTGGGTAAGTGTTTATCAAGTCACGTTATCTTAAAAATCTTATCCGGTAAGTGAGGAACTGAGGACGATGACTCTTATCATGGTAAGCTTTACTGGATAAATTGTTGTATATAATGTCGTTTTGGTGGACTAAAGTTTTATCTGGTAAGTAAGTGATAATATTAAATTTTATCGGTAATTGTTTACAAGGTAAGTGTTTGATAAACGACCCTAAAAGTTGTTTGATACTTGCAGCCATGAACATTCTCGTCTTATTGATTGTTTTGTTCTGATCCCTTAAAATCATCAATTGAATATGAATTTATGAGGGAAAGCTGCCATAGGTGTTATGGGTATAATTTTTTTTTGTAAGTTTGTTCACATCTGAAATCTAACAAGTTATCCATTTTCCATAAAGGAGTCAAATGAAACCAAAGTTTCATGTTCGGTTTTGAATTAGAGATGTTAAAAATGACGAATCGACGTACCCCTAGCCTTCCAAGCTAAGGATGCGGATTCAATTCCCGTTACCCGCTCTATATCCTCTCTTATATATTTATTTTATTATCTTACTATATTTATATACTCTTAAATATTTTAATAGACTCTAATTAATACAACATTCGTTATTGAATATACAATTCATTTTTTTTGCTACTATATCATAATAATTATAATTAGATGTTAGGAACGATTCTTTTTTGAGGTTTTGAAAGAAAAGAATAATAAAATACAAAACAGTTTTACTAAAACATTTAACTAGAAAGGAGAAGAGTTTTGTCCCTAACATAACACACATAAAAGATGGTCGTTGGTGTGAGAGGTTTATTACGTAATAAATGAAGATAAAAGATCAAATATGTAACAAATCACATACCTGTTTGGCATGCAGAGTATATAAGACAGGACGAGACAAAAAAAATAGTCACATGTTTGGTATGCCATGGACAAAAAAAACATGGGACAAGGTGAGATTGTTTTTAATTTTAGTGAGACAAATCTTGATATTTCTTGTTCCACCAAAAAAGGTGGAACAACATGGGACTAAAGTTAAAATGACAATATTTTGATTGATTTGTTGTCATTTTACAATCATTATATGATATAAAATAACATTGAACAACATTTAAGGGTAATATGGTCATTTTAATAGTTTTGTCATGTCCTGTCTTGTCCTAGTCGTACCAAACATAGGACAGACAATTAGTCATGTCCTGTCCTGTTCCGTACCGTTCCCGTCCTGTCTCATCCAGTCTGCGTACCAAACACTACCTCAAAGAACAAAATCCATAATTTACAAATTTAACTAAGCTAAGATATCCTTTGGAAGGGATAAAGACATTTGAAACCAAAAAGTAGGAAATGCAACAAATTTCTTGCTTATTCAATAATTTATGGTCTAATAAATGTGTCTATAAACAGAGATTCGATGGTTGGAGTCGTAATAATAATTAATAATTAATAATAAAAAATAACAATAATCAAATCATTCAAAAACCAAATGAAAGAGACAGACAGACAGACAATAGGAAACAAAACCATTCAACAATTTAGGTACATCCTGCTCCACACCACAACAAAATAACACAAAACACAAATCTTCAACTTCCACCCCACATTCCTTTTCTTCAGGTATCCTCTACTCTCGAATGGAAAACGAAGCTTGGAAACGTAGTCGTGATGTCCCTGTTTGTCAAAATTCAGATCGATCTTAGCGTCCGTTTGTTAGCAGCTTAATGGAACTCACAACTTATTCGGTTAGCTATACATGATTATTTGATAAGTGTCGCTCTTAGAAGGGAGTCTTATGCAAAAAACAAAGTTTTTTTCAAACCTACATGCTCATTTTATCTATGAAAAAACTCTCACAAAGAAAAACCTTCTCAATCTATACATACAGATTAATCCGCACAAATAGCTTTATCCATAAAGAACTTGATGAAAAACCAACCAAACAACCCCTTAGAAATTATAGTCTGCCAAATGCCTTTTTGACCAGATAAGGACTAAACTCAAATGACTGGAAATCTAAAATGTTTTTTTTGAAATAAGTGTGAGGTTCAAATAAGAATACTAAATATTGTAAGGAAAGGTTAAGTGAAAGTTCTCATGTAATCATTGGGAAAATGGGAAAAAATCTAGAGTAATTACAATTTGCATCCACGTTGTTTGTTAAAAGTTATAATTTTCATCCCTGTGATTTAAAAATTGCTGTTTTGGTCCATATGGTTTACAATTCTTTACTGTTTTGGTCCCTTGTACTTAAAAGGTAGGAACTAGTCCAGGAACGCAAATAGCAAGAAATTGCAAACCATAGGGATGAAAATTGCGATTTCTGAACTACAGGGATGAAAATCAAAACTATCAACAAACCACACGGATGAAAATGGTAGTTTACTCAAAAATCACTATGAAGATGCATACGTGAACACGGATTATTTATATGGGTTCACATATGCATCTCCAAAAGGATTTTTTTCAACAATTCCCATATAAAACTTCATTTCTTACCTTCTCAAGATATTTAGCCTTTCTATTTGAAGCAATAAACATATACAACCAAATAATAAACTATAACCTTTTAATATTAAATGAAACTTACTTGAGATACTGAAGTGTCATATTCTTCAAGAGCGATGGATGTCGCAGTACAAGACTCCTCCATTCTTCCTTGTCAATCTTCCCATCATGTTTTGTATCAGCTTCCTCAAAGGTCTAAACAACGTAACAACTTGTTATTTCTTTGTAACAAACATTGTGGGAGAACGGAAAATTTTCTGAAGCACCTCCAAACATGGGACTTTATCTTATCACTAGTTTTATTGTTCATGTTAAAAATCTTCCTTTATTGTGGTCACTGGTGTGTAGGGCTGCATATGGGTTGGCAGCCAGTTTGAAGGCGTTTGAACAACTCAACCAAACTAGTGTGGTTTGAAAAATCTCAACCCGTTAAGAAATATTTAAAGCATAACCCGAATCAACCCAACCCGTGCAGTTAGTTTGGTCGGGTTGTGACATAATAGCCACACTGCAGCAGCATACTTATACAACCCATCAAGTCACTACTACCCGTTACTGGACCTTTTATGCTACTTGGGTTAAAAGAAAAAACCAGACTAGTAGTTGGAATTGTGATACACTTATCTAGCAGAAAAAGCGTATAACAATAAGTGGGGTATGGGGTTCACCGGGTTAGGTTGGGTTCAAATTGGCCCAACTTAATAGTAGTTGAACTTGGTTAAGCACAACCACTCACCACTGTTTAGGTCCCTAGTACAAAATACAAACCCTCGCTTTTATCAATCTGTAATAGCTAGAGTAAGGGGCTGTTGGTTTTCCATCACATCCTATATGGATAAAGCTGTCTGTATGGATTAATCTGTTTGTATAGATTGGGAAGGTTTTTGTTTGGGAGAGTTTTTTCATAGATGGAAGGAGCTTGCTTTTTAATTGGGAGGGACGGGTTTGAAATTTTTTTTGGCTTTCTGCATAAAGCTCTCCCCTAGAAGCTTTAATAAGCCACTTTCTATATGTTTAAGCCACAACCAAACAGTCATGTATACCTGATCGAATAAGCTGTGAATCCCATTAAGCTCATTAAGCTTGCTAACAAATGGGCCCTAAGACTTCAGAACAAAGGGTCTACGATAATTCGTCTACCTTTTAAGAGTGTAGATTTCCAATAATATTTTCAGTTATCGTGTATGTGAGAAGAGGTAGTATAAATTATTACCAAAATTTTGAAATTCAGGAACAAATTACCCTAAGCCCCATACGGTTGAAATGAAACCGTAGCAGGGAACATGCATATGTTTGGCCTTGGAACCAATAAGTAGGATCAGCTGATGTACCTTGTCAATGATGCTCTCTATGACATCATCTGAAAGATTCATGCCAGACTCAGCAAGGGTAGCTACCACCATTTGCTTTACCTACACGTTGAGAAGTTCACAGAATGATCGATGTGTTGATTATTACTCAGATATGAGGATAATTATAAGGGTGAAATTGACAAAATAACTCAATATCAACAGAAAAAAGTCTTCCTACTCGGTATAAACTTAGATGATGCTCCCTCCCTCCATACAAATTGTCGACTTCTAAAAGCTAAAAAGAATTTACAGAGTTTTCTGGACACATGATTGAGCACAAGGAATAAAATGACTCTATCTGTTGAAAAGAGGGGCATTCTAGGATGATAAAATTTATCTGAATGCTAAATATAGAAACATGATTATTTTTTCCATATAAAGACAATCATAAAACGGACCCTTTCTTTAGGGACGGGAACAATAAATAGAGCTTGTAAGCTAGAAATGGATTCAGGATGTGCACTAAAAATCCCGATAAAGGAAAGGTTTCTTTTCATCTGGGTGTGTTGAAAGACCATCATTATCACAGTTTTTAGTGAGTGCGGCTGTAACTTAAACGGACCTGGCTTGACCTTTTTTTCATAGGTTCAGCTAAAGTTTGAGTTTAACTTGAGTTGAACTAGAGCAAAGTTGAGTTAAACTAAAGCAATATCATGGTCAAACTAATACTTAATTCAACTCGAATTAGAACCCGAGCTTGAAGTTGATCACCCCAAGCTTGGCTCAGTAGGCTCTTGAGTCAGCTCTAATCCATATCTGGCTCTATTTGTCCTGGCTGTAACAGCGCCTGTTGATTAATATGTTTCAGATATCATGCATGTTGTTGTTCATTCTTTTATATATCATGTATCTATATGTGTGTATTTGGTTATGCGTTGGTATATGTATGACATGATATGCATATACATACATGTATTTGTGTGTACTAGAAGGGTACTCGTGCAATGCAGCGAGATACATCTTGATTTTAATATTTCATTTTATTCTTTATCTCAGTCGATGTTATACTATGGTCTTATGTGATTTTGAAAAAGCGATGATGTTTTTATTTTTGAATAAAATATAAATATGAAGATATCATAAAAATTTGACAAAAATATGTTGATATTAGTATCAAATTAACTATTTAAAATTCATATTTTTTGTGTAATTTTTTAATTTAGTTTTTTTATTATAATTTAATTTAGGTTAAATAACGAAGTAATTTGTATTTGGTTTAATAATATAATTTTCTTATAAAGATAATAATTAATTATTTTGTTAGAACTTGATAATTATCCTAATTTTATTTTAGATTTTTTATATTTTAAAATGAGATGTTYATCCTCTATTTGATTATGTTTATCCGCAKTTAGTTACACGAATTMAAACATGGARCTTTAATAAGYTGTACTTATGCATAATTTACTTGTAATCTTGAATTTTAAGTAATATGCATCAATATACAGTACTTCATGCATAAAAAATGGTTTTTAAGAGTTTTTGTCAAATGCTTAATAATACAGTATAGATGCACACAGACAAACATACATGTACATGTGTTTTATATATGTACATATACATGTGTGTGGGAAGAAAATGACTAAAAATTTGACATATTCAACTTTAGTTTGTTCTCAAGTCATTTCAAATAGGAGACTTGGTTGGTAATTTTCAAAGCTTGGCTCAACATCATTTTCTAGCTCCATCACCAAAGTTCAGCTCTGCTTGGCTCAAATACAGTCCTACTTATCTCTGACAAGTTAATATGTAGACATTTGTAGATTCTTATACAAAACCATCAAAAGATCTACTTCTAGCTGCGGTAATTGCATACTTCACAAGTGATGGAAGAAGAGATGTGAATATGATGAACATATTTTGGATAACTTTAGGAACATAACAAATCTTGCTTCAACACACAAAAAGCCAATTGAAACAGGTTTCTGTTGCATGCACAAACGAAAATAATTTACCTCTTGCCTTTCTATGAAACCTTGCTGCTTGAGATCATAAAGCTGGAAGGAAACTGCAAATAGAGAACGAAAAGAATAAGAGATTCTGGATCGTATAACAAAAGTATATATACTCCATCAGTTCCATGAAATTTGCAACAATCATTTTACATGCATATTAATGCAAGTGTCTGAAACTAACTTTTGTTTTTCAATTTAAAGTAAATCTTGTGAACTGAAATCATAACATAAAGACTCCTGTCATGATGTGTTGGGGGCAACTTTCTAACTTCGCTCAAAATGTTTGCCAAAAAAAGGATAATGTTGCAATTCGGGAATCCAAATTGAAAATTGCTGCTGTTTTTATGTGATTTGAGTGCTTTAATGCTAATACACCAGTTGTTCATAGATGAGAACAGAAGAACCCCTAACAAAGACATCAGGTGCACCACATTTATATATACACAGAGAGAGAGAGAGAGAGAGAGAGAGAGCGAGAGAGAATATATGTCAACTTACATTCAATCTTATCATCAATAGGGGCATTTGGATGAAATACTGAGAGTGCACGAGCAAACTCCTCAAAGCCCAGGATTCCATTATGCTTTGTGTCAAACAAGTCAAACACCTGGAGTCCAAGCAATAGGAAGAGGGTTTCATAACATGTATTATAATAAAAAGTTCAAGCAATGCTTCTCAATACCATGCCATATTACATTTTCTTCTTACAAGTCTATCAAGAAGGGAAAACCTATTCATGCTGCTATATCTTTTCTATTTGTAATGTATAGTATGAGATAATGGAAATTAAGTGATCAATTAGATAATCTCTAAATGAACCAAGAGAGAGAAACAAGCCTGCAGCACATGTATAGGGATTGCATTAGAAAGTGTAAGATGTCTTGCAAATTTCGATCCTACCATCTATCTTTTCTTTTCTTTATCACCATACTGTTTAATGTGTTTGGACACCTGAAATTACTTGGTTATTAGAGATCACATACCCGATCAGCAAACAAGCTTTCCTTTTTATTTGTCTTAAACAACGCCAACTGGAATTCTTCCTGCAATATGTTTAGAATGAACATCCAAGTTAGATTGAGCTGATGTTGCCCTGGCATGAAGAATAAAAGAAAGGAAAAACATAGAAAGTTCGATGGATGCTGCCGTGTGAGTGCTCATGACTTAACATGACGTCACAACAGCTTCAGTACGGACCTTATTAATTAGCCCATCATCAATAACTGCACTGCTAATCTTCTTAAATAACTCGTAGAGTGCTTCAATTTCACTTACACTAACTGCAAATTAAGCAAAAGATAACTTTTTTCAGTATGAGGCAGCTTCTTTTATCACGGTGAAACAAAGATAAAGCTTAACATATTCTGTTTCCAAAATGACATTGCTGCATAATGTCCAAGATAAACATGAGCGTCCGACTGCATGAAGGTAAGCCAGAAGAACTACGAAAGAATTGTTCATCAGCTTGCTCTAAACAAAGGCAAACTTTCATGGCTACAACTTGCATAATAAACCATTCATTGAACTTTACCCCCCAAAAGATCAACTGGAAAAACAATCATCTCTTCAGAAACTACCAATAGAGGCTCACATGCCACCACAACAAACTGTTAAAGCAACTTGCCTAGAAATCCTACATAAGGCATCTGTTTCTAAAAAGAGAGCGCATATATAATGTTCGAGCATATTAGTCTCTCCGTCACTTCCTAAACCTCGAGCATGGCAAGTACCCTTTTATTATATAGGGAAACCCAAAAATAAGCATGGGAAAGAACGTCGACCACATGCATGACAAATAGTTGATACATGGAAAATATATAATACATTAAGCAGATTTACCTAATCATAAATTCCAAAAAAGGAAAAATGGTCAATTAGTCATGATCACATACACAATCTTCATAGGCCAATATAGGCTAAGTACATCCTATTGTGGCTTTAGGATTTAATTGACACTGCCATAATTTACTAGTAAAAGAAAAGACTAGTTTAAAGCTTCATGTAATCAGTGGTTACATATATTCTAAACCAAAAAAATCAAAATTCAAATGTCATAACTTAGACTAGTTGCTTACACACTGTCTCTCTAGCTAGAATTTCAGGATCTTCAAGGCCTCTTGATTGTTTGTACAATTCAAGATCACAGCAGTGTAGCAGGGAAGCACACAAATGCTTGATCCCCTCTAAGCACTGAGACATGGTACTTGTTGTACATCAAAATAATCCATACTTGCTCCTGAAGAGAAAGTACAAAACCGAAGTCAAAGCATACTAACTACATGTAAAGCATGAAAAAAGGGTAACAAAAACTGAAGGATAGAAATAACCTTTTGACCATTTCCTATTGCTGCTAAAATTTTAAAAATGCAATCACTTGATGAGAGGAGCAATCAAACTATATCTGTTAGAAGCAAAGCAGCGATTCATCAGGAAACCTCACTACAATAGCTTTCGAGAGTACAAAAAGGAAATATGAAAATATTGCCAAGTACTTGGACAAAGAGATCTTTCAAGAACCATGACCAACACTGAATTTTTCATTTGCTTCTATGTTGTTGTCTGTTCAATTGTTGTTCAGCAAAAATACATTGGTTTGGTTCAATTATTTTCATGAATATGAGTTTGAGAACATTTTAGTTTTTACGAAGTTATTTTGGAGATAATTATCACAAGATTTACCATGTAAAGCGTACTAATCTTCTCTAATCACATGAGTGATGGCCACAGAACATATGGGTGTTGCACTTCTATGAGTCTATCTACTGACATGATTTCGTAACATGACACTAATTAACAATAAAGGCCTTCATGTCCAAATTTCTTCATTGTTGAAACCATATAAAATTGTTGGGCCCTAATCCCTATGTGTACCAGCCTCAGCATTACATGGGTTGGTGGTCTGGCATGGTACCATACTATCATGGGTAAGTGGTCCGGAGGTATTGGGTTTGAGTCTTCTAAAATAATACCCACTCAAGAGAAAGTTATTTAATTTAAAATAAATCTATCCAAGCCACCTTGCGCTTTTACACTGGAAGCAAAGGTTGTATTCGTTCAGTTTGTGTCGAGTACTGCCATTATGCGTCCCTCAATGTGCGAAGGTGGTCAAATGTTAGGAGGAATGTTGAAGCTATTTATAGTTGGCATTGCTGACTCTTCATTTACCGGTTTATGTATGGCACCTGTGGGAGAGGGGCATTAGTGGGAAAGAAGGGGGTGAATCCTAAATAAAGCATGAGACAAAAGTCAAGGTTTGTCATAACAGATTCTAGCAGGCATGGGAGGACCTGATGTGGTGGCATGGGTGGCACGTGCCACTGTACTATTTCGCCGCCGAAGGGTAAAAAATTTATGTTTGTTAACGGTGCTACCATATCGTTTTAGAAGGTACTACCATATTTCCCTGAAACCCAAATGGTGCAACTAAAACCCAAACAAAACAAAGCCCAACCAAAACCATACTTTTTGTAATTATTTTTGGATATATATTGACCGTTTTCAAAAGAAGAACACGCGTCGGGTACAAGTTTAGAAGTTGTTTATCGGTACTTAGGGCTGTAAACGAACCGAACGAACACGAACAGAGGCTTGTTCATGTTCKTTCGTTTAACTTGTGTTCGTGTTCGGTCGTTTAGAAATAAGGTGTGTTCGTGTTCGTTTATGTCCGTTCGTAAACATGCTAAACGAACGTAAACGAACAGGCTAAACGAACATAAATAAATATTATTTGAATTCAAAGTAAATAAATAAAAGATAATATATTAAACTTAATATATAAACGAACATAAACGAACGAATATAAACGAACGTAAACGAACGGTAAATGAACGAATGAGACTCTTGTTCATGTTCGTTCCTTTAACTAAACGAATAAAAAAATAGTTCATGTTCGTTCATTTATTAAATAAACGAACTTCCCGCCGAACGGTTCACGAACGGTTCGCTGAACATTCGGTTCGTTTACAGCCCTATAGGTACTATAAAAACCATATTTTTTGTAATTATTTTTAGATGTATATTATACTGTATTAATTATATGGTGCCACCGTTTGAATTTTTTTTTGGGTCTGTCCCTGCTAGCAGGGAGTTGTTGGAATCAGTTGATGTTGTTATGAATAGGTAAAGGATCTAAGGAGGTAGGTGTTCAATGAGATATGCTTTCTCTCTATGCTATCTCCTCTTTTCCTCTCTAATTTGTCTTTCTTATCTCTCTAAACTCATTTTATCATGAGTATTCTGGTTTAAGGCATTGGCTACAGCTGAGTTCCTTAAAATTGATGTTCAAGCCAATTCAATCCATGACAAAGGCAGCCAACAAGTAAAGCTTCACCAAGTAAAATGAATTTCAATCTCAGCTGCAAAGGTTGATAGACATCTTTCGAAAGATGATGGATGTCAACTTTGATCAAATTTTCAAAGCATTGGAGGTTCTAATGGCAACAGGAAAGTCCAACATGCTGTGGACAGCTTCAGAGAAACAATTATGAAGCCTTTGGTTTTGACATGGATGGAAAGATGGCTACCAGAGGAGGAAATGAGTGGGGATCTGAAATAGACATTCATTTTGCAGACCCATCCAGAGTTTCATGACAAGGATCGCTCACTCTTTTGACTTCTCTCTAAAATTTCTAAACAGTGGCTGCTAGTTCCAGCACCCTAAACCAAAGAAATCAAAGGCAACAACAATGGAAAGGATTCTGCACAAGGAGATTCTGACAACTGATCATGATTCATTGAAATAATCTGCACATGCATCTCTGATAGGAACTGATAGAGGACTAGGCAGGGAGTCGTTCATATGACTCTTCTATGTACATCATGCAAAATATAAGGTAATGCTATAGTTCGGATTAAAGATATTCAACGGTGTGACCCATATGTTGGGTTATCCAAAGAATGGAGCCATCAAGCTCTGCAAGGGTTCTCTTGTGGCGAAAGGGCATAAAAAGACTGCAAATTTGTATGTTTTGCAAGATCTACCATCATGAGGAAACCAGATGTAGCTTCAAAGTAGATGTCTGCTTCAGATGTTACAAGACTATGGCACATGAGATTGGGCAATTCAATCCTGAGCAAAGTTTGGTATGGCCGAGTTGAGTAGAAGAGACCTTCTACGTGGCCAAGGCATTAGCGAACTTTTTTTTGCGAGTATTGTGTGTTTGGCAAGCAAAAAAGAGTAAGATGTCAAAGTTCGGTCCATACAACCAAAAGTATTCTCGATTATGTACATTCCAACTTCGAGATGAATAATCAGGGAAGTGCAAAGAAGATACTTGGGATGGAAATTTGCAAGAATTGAAGAACTGGTATCTTGTATTTGCGCCAAAAGAGTTATCTCAAGAAGGTTCTTTAACATTTCAACATGCACAATATTAAGTCAGTTCATGGCTCCCTTAGCACCTCAATTTCATTTGTCAGCTTCTCTTTGTCCAACTCCCGAAGAAGATAAGACCCACAAGTCACATGTTTCCTACTCTAGTATCATGGGTTCGTTGATGCATATGTGATTTGTACACATCTGCTCTTGTCACAACATACACAATGAACGGTCACGAAAAGATATGAATCATTTACACACCAATTTCAGTTGAAACCTTGGTTGCTTCCGAGCGAAAAACATGAATTCTGGTCCAAATGTTGAAATCAGTAGAAACAATTTCTTTCAACGCAAAGCAGGCTCAATTGATCAAACCATAATTACAGTAACTCAAAAGATTAACCAACTAAGCATGCAAATCATCACAAAAAATGAATCCAGTACCTTCTAGAATATACTCTCGGATCTCGATAGATACTTGAAACAAAAGACTCAAAATAAACCAATCCAAGTAGATGAACATTCACACACCAATTTAAATTGAAACCTGGGTCTGTTTCAGGCTAAACACATGAATTCTGGTCCAAATGTTGACATCAACAGAAACAATTCTTTCAAAACAATAGCAGGCTCATACCATGATTTAAGTAACTACAAGAATTCAACAATCTAACATGCAATCATCAAAGAATGAATCCGATACCTTCTAAAACTTATCATCAGATCTCGATATATACTTGCAACAAAAAACTCAAAACAAAGCAATTCAAGTAGATACGTATATTAGATCTTTAAATGTCAACAATTCACATGAACCAAGATCCTCCATAACCCCAAAACACATGATTCGATTCAATGATTAAATCATAATTCACAATCCAAAACCAGAAACGAACAATCATCTAACAATAAACGTCATGGATCTCGCAACGGCCACACGATTCAACCTTGGACAAAAGAAAAGGATAGGGATTGCATGATATAAACTAACCTTGCCAAAAAAAACTGTCAGATGTGTGCTCTAATGGAGATACAGTTGGAAGCTCTGTGGATTTAGGGACGAATATCGAACAGAGAACACGATTTCCACCAAAAAATCAATCAAATTGAAATCAGAAAGAGGAAGAAATAGTGTAAATTATCCGAGTATTAAAGGGAAACAGAAAAACTACCTCGCCTATAATGATGTTGAGAAATAACATGGACAGTGATGGCGATAGGGTGCATATCCGTAATCAACCAAGGAACCCTTTTTTTCATTTTTCTGTCAATAATACCCCTCAATTATTTTATATGCACAAGTTTAGTCCTTCTAGTTATAATAATGATTAATTTTGTCCCTTATTTAATGAACATTTCATTGTGGTTCTTATTCCGTAAATCCATAACTAGGGATTTACGGAAACAGGAGATCGTTTTCTTGTACCCTTCGTGCACATTGTATTTATGTACCAACTTGCTTGGCTTCTTTCTCGACTCACATTCATCTTAATCCGAGTATATCTTACTATCTGCCGACCTATGTATTTTATATGAATATATCTATAGGGTCAGGCAAAAAAATAATAAACCGAGAAACACCTAATAACTATTCATCTTTACAATATGCATATAATTAATTCGTAAGTAATTTTTCTAGTATACATACGTGCAAGGAACATCTTCAATTACTTGTATTCATATTTGCATATCGTACAGATGAATGGTTATTAGGGTATTCATCCATTTTAATTTTTTGAGATTTTTCTCTAACCCCCCCCCCCCCCCCTTTCCCTCGGGGAGAGGTAGGTTTAGGATAAAACCCTAAAATAATGAAAAACTAAGGAACACTCTGATAACTATTCATCTGGACGTTATGCACATGTACATACAAGTAATTGAAGTTGATTCTGACTTTTATGCACGTGTATATGCTATGCACTTATGCATACTGAATAAATTATATACAAATTACTTGTATGCACATATACATACTCAAATGAATGATTATCAAGGTATGATTTTTCGTCGAATGACTATTCATCTATTGTATTTTCATACAAATATGGAGCAAGAAAACTCTATGAAAAGATGGTGGTTCAATTTCCAATGATTTTCCCTATACTTGTTAATCAAGGTCATTAATAATTTTTGTAAACTTGAAGTTGTTTACTTTTAGCAAACACCGAACTTCAAAATTTCAGTTTTCTCTTCATTTCTTTCATTAATTTCTCCGAATCACCACAATGGTTGGGTTATGGTAAAAACGATGGTTAAGATCAGAAGCATAAGAAGTGAACTCCATCATTGAATGCACGTTATGGTGAGATGCAACATTTCTATCATTAATTAATGCCATCACAAACAACAAATGGCTAGAAACAGAAATCGATCGATGGGTACATGAAGTTTGCACAACCGAAATCAAGAACTCCAAAACGGTTATTACAAACGAAAAGGATGCCCCTATTACACATACTAAAGACACACAAGCATATTAGCAAACCAAGTCGATACTAGGAAACCGAACAATACTTGCAAGAATACAATGGAAAGAAGAAGAAAAAAAGTACGGACATCATCTCTCCTCTTATCTCGAGACTTTTCTCAGTCGAAATCAGAAACAACAACCTACTTTTGCCTCTTATATATCTTTCCTAAGAAAGATTTCAACACCGCTTGTACTGCTTTGCTCGGGTGAGCTTCAATCGAAGTGATCAGCTTTGTGTAACTCGTGTTCTCATACTCTTCGAATACACCCTACGTTTATCCAACAATATCAACTAAGAGAAACTTCTTCTTAAAGATCGAGTCAAATTTGTATGTTATATATAGAATTATATATATATATATATATATATATATAGGGGCCTAATCAAATGAGAACTAATTAATTTGTGGTAACCGTGAGGTCCAATCTCAACCACAAATCAATAGATAAATTAGAAAATTCATAATTTTAGTAATTTTGAATTAAAATTTTAATGCAAGGACATTTTAGGTATTTTAAAACTCTCCTCTCTCCTCTCTTCTCTCTCCGTCCCCCGTCCTCCGGTGATACCACAATGGTATCACAATGTATCATATATGTGCTTGGGTATCACATTGAGGTCGTTTGTGGTCGATCGGAGATGTAACACAGTGGTATCAAAATGCATCTTATATATGCTTTGGTATCATACTGTGTCTTTTGTTTAACAGAGTCAATATTTGTAGGTATCACAGTGGTATCCCTGGAGGCCGGAGGCCGGAGGACGGAGAGAGAAGAGAGGAGAGAAAATACCTAAAATGTCCTTCCATTAAAATTTTAATTCAAAATTACCAAAATTATAAATTTTCTAATTTATCTATTGATTTGTGGTTGAGATTGGATCTCACGGTTACCACAAACTACTCAGTTCTTCCTTGAATGGATCCCTATATATATATATATATATATATATATAATATGTATTATATATTATTCAATCGGATAATTATATTAAAAAATTTACATTTATATCATAAGAATAAAAATCATGTAGATTATTATTATTATAAAAATGGTCTTCAAATAAATATTCAAAATAAGATTTAGAAGTGTAATTCTACAACTTCGTTTTAATCGTGAGTCAATGACGTGTATGAATTCGTGAAACTGTGAGTGATGTGATCAAATAAATCTATAAAAAATGTAAAATCTAAAGTTAAAATTGTAAAAACACAAAAGTTAAAAAACTAAAATCTTACGCCATATCGCGTCATAACGGACGCCATGACGCGCCTTTTTGAACACCATCGAATATACACACAAGGAGAAGAGAAAGAAGCCACAAACCTGAAGATTGAGAGCGTTGTATAGTTCCTTCACTTTGGCAACAGAAGCCGGATCTTTTTTCCCGTAGTTCTCCTAGATGTAAACAAGTTGTAGGGATAAGCAAATATAAAAATTGTCGTGTCTGACGGTGTTCCAGTATGGAACAGGGCCTCCAAAAGTTTTTGTGCCCAATTATACTTGTTTTAGCCGATTTGACGATTCCGACTCCAGCTTTAGAAGAATGATTATATTTAAGTGAATTTGATACGTTACTTTGTCATTTTAAGACATTTTTGTTGTTTTAATTTGTTAAGACTTTTAATATAGTATATGGTATGGACTTTATATTTTATTCATGGGCTGTTTGGTTGGTCTTTCATCGAGTCCTATATAGATAAAGATTTTTGTGGCTTAATCTATCTGTATAGATTAGAAAGATTTTGAGTTCTCTTAGATGGAATGTGCGATGTTTTTTAATTGGGTACATAGCGCTCCCCCTAGAAGCTTAATAAATAAGCACTTTCTACATCATTAAGTCACTACCAAACAGTGATATATAGGTGATCGAATAAGTTGTGAGTCGCATTAGTTTATTACTCATCAATAGTTATGATACAAAAGAAGGGCCTCCAAAAAGATTGGAAGGACCCTGCAAACATATAGCTTCATCGGCAAGATTAAGGATGGATGGAGACGAAACAAATAAACGAAAACTGATTGTGCCTAGGTGCAATTGCAGTACCCAAAATGACGTCGTTTTGCATTTATTTTTTCCTTTCCTGTTGGGTGTAGGGATATGGTGAGTATAGCATAGGACTGCCCTTTGCAAAATTTTAGCAGAATTGGCATCCAGTATGGCATATGGGTGTATTTGTGCATGTGGCTATGTATGTGTGTGTACGTGTTTGGTGTATGATATTACATGTATGTATGCATACATATATATATATATACACATACACACACATATAGTACTGCATGAATGAAATAAAAACGGTTCTAGCTTACATGTAGGACTTTCTTTTGTTCCTCATCGGCAAGTTCCAATGCTTTCACAACCAACCAGGAGCACTTAAAGTCTTCAATGTCTGTTCCAATCTGTCACAACAAGGTATAGATCAGACATTGCAAGTTCCAACTCTACTGCGAGTCACGAGCTAAATAAATAATGAAAGATATTGAGAGACTTACCTTGCCAATCACCTCAGGAGCACCAAAACAGTCTAGGTAATCGTCCTGTAACAATTTCAGATGTTTATAAATTGACAATCACAAACAATAGTTGTTGAAATTCTCGTTAATGAGAACGAATGTCCAACATATTACCAAAGAGCAGGAGAAAAGTGGTGCCTTAAAATGGTCACCATAGATTCTTGTAAAACATCTAGGTCATTAGAGGCGGACCCATAAATTTTCTCAAGTAGTGGCAAATTTTACAAAAAATATCTAATTTTTTTTCACAGTATTATTATAGATTTGTTGGTTGGTTCCTTGTTCTTGCATAGAAGAGACCCATATATTTTTAAAAACACAAGAAGTATATAAAAAAACTCCAAAATTTAAGCTAAAAAACAACAAATTTGACAATTGTGGGACTTGAACCTGGGCCTTTTGCATAAAGACGAGCATTTACCATCTTAGCCCTCAAAGTCTTGTGCTAACATTTAAGTTTTAAAAACTATATGGTGGCACCCAACAAAACACTACGGTGGCACCCTTCAAAAACGTAATCTTTTTACCATGAAGCAGTTCCCCGTGGCACGTATCATTCCATGTAGGTCCGCCCCTATAGCTCATACCAAACTGAATATAAATAATTGCAAGTGATAATCACATACCTGCACTTGGAAATAGGTACCCATTTCAACCAATACGTCCTTCACCGCAACATGATTGTCCAGATCCTCTCCGAACATAAGGAGTGCACAGGCAACCTTGAACATAAAGTAATACAAAATAACCCATTGGCCAATTTGATTATCGACTATAGAAGTGAAGCATGTATCATATTCAGAAAGACAAAAGAAAAGTAAAGGTTGTAAAATAAAGTGGGCTAATGTTAGCACAACTCTAATTAGCATATAAAAGATAGACATTTTGAATAAACCTTCATTTAATATCCGAAGAGACTAGGGGGCCGTTTGGTTGGTTTTCCTTTAAGTCATGTATGGATAAAGTTGTCTGTGTGGATTAAAATAGTCTGTATAGATTGAGAAGGTTTTTGTTTGGGAGGGTTGTTTCATAGAAGAAAAGAGTGTCTCTTTCAATCGGGAGGGGCTATTTGGCTTTCAACATAAAGCTCCCCTTAGAAGCTTCCTGAATAAGTCACTTTCTATATTATTAAGTCACTACCAAACAGTCATGTATCGCTGACCGAATAAGCTGCAAGTCCCATTAAGCTCATCAAGTGCTAACAGACAGGTCCTAAGATTAGAAGTTAGAACCTTGTACCCCACTATGCAGCGCAGTGCAAATACCACTTTGGGAATTTTAAAATGAATAAACGAATAAATAGGTTATGTTTTTATTAGGAAAACCCATCACCCATATAACACACACATGCTAGCACGATAGAATATCAATTGATTTGAGAAACCCAAAAAAAGACGATTATTTTAACAAGTATTCCCAATGGTGACTAGAAGATGCATTATGGTGTTATCATTTTCTTGTGCAAAATATGAATGGAAGAATGTACTCACTGGAAGGTAAAATGAGTAGTAAGCAGTTTTGTACTGAACAATTCGGCGGTGACTGCAACACAAGACAACATGGTGTACTTTAGAAAATGTAATATAGATACAAATTAGATTGGATGGGGTTTATGAAGAAAAAATTGAGATGGCCACTTACATAGACAACGAATACTTTGAGAGATCTTTCTCTCCAACAAGTGTAGTAATCAAATCAATCATCTGTCCTGAAGCTGTTTGGAACTCTACCTGCTCAAGTACAGGATGAAGATTACTTTTTAAGTATCGAAGAAGTATATATAACCCCTGATATGTTGAGCATGTGAAAGAAAACCAACCTCATTGAATAGGTCCACTAGATCCACATAATATGGCTTTCCTCGGAAATGTTTCTTGAGAATTCTTGGGATATGGTTGCGAAGAATGATTCCATCGTTTGCAGCTATCATACCAACCTAAAATCAAATAAGGCTAGGTATGCACATAATCAAATGACGACTATATAAAAGAATAGTTTATTGTTTGTAGATTCACACCTTCGGTAATCTGAACCAACAGGGCTGACCTCTGCGTGTATGAGACTCATCCATGATATCATCGAGCACAAGAAAATATGCTTGAAGCTACAAGATAAAATAAACAGATTTAAGTATATCATGCAACGTAATGAACTAATGGCAAACATATTCGAGGATATAGTTCTTACCCATTCAATACACCAACCAAGGGCAGATGCAAGAAAAATCTCATCATCGGCCAATTCTCCTCCTTTTAGTAACTTGTAGCTATCAATAACAGAGAGACCCCGGTTCAGCTTTCCTACAAGCATGACAGTAGAATATTGCTTTATATACAAAAAAATGATTTGCAATCAAACAATTGAAAGGAAATAGAGGAACTATTCTTACCTCCAGGTACATTGTAGTCAAGCATCTGCAAAGTAAAAAACAAACAAACACAATCAAACTTGGATATTATTAATGAATCATTGCTCAGAAGATGATTTTATATTTTGTTATTACAAAGTAAACATGAGAAATATATGAACTATTCTATGTAGTTCCTGGATAGTCCTTCTCTATTAGAAGATTGTTGATGCCTCCCACCCAATATAATAGAAATGTATATTGTTTAGCACATAATACTTTGCTCAAATTATTTGGGAAAAAAATCAATTCTGCTATATCATCTACTCTTTGTTATTTTTAGCAATACCCACATCAATATGAAAATTGAATTGAAACATAACATAGCAGAGAGAAAAAGCAAATTATGTACGTAAAGCATACATGAAGACTTATAAGAACGATTATACATTTTGAATGTCTTGTAATAATGGTATTGATCGTTACTATACACGATAACCTTACTGTTAACAAAGTCATTGGTCTTGATTTCAAACAAACAAGGCCAAGTAACCAAAACAGAACCTGAAAGCCATTACAGCCGTTTAGTTTATTTAGTTTCATTCAAAAAAAAATGTAGAAAAATTTGCAGAGAATGGAATAACATAAACTAGAACCCCTTTTATCTTGTCAAGGGTCGTCAATCATAGAAGTTAACACCAATGCTGATGATACTCCTTTACTAAAGAAAAAAAGAACATATATCAACTTACAGTCTCTATCTGTGAAAATCCTAATGTTGTTACCACATCTTCAGAGATAACTCCAATAATCAATTGCAAACTTGAGAGTAAAATCAACCAGTTTTGAACTGTTTCTATTTTTGACAGTAACTTAAAAAAGCTGTAAATAGTTACGAATTGATAAAGTAGGCCTTCAATCTATAAATCACGGAATCTAATAACCTAATAATTTTCATCATCAATTAGCAGCAAACCACCAGATTCTCGCAATAAATTTACTCCAAATCGATGTGATACGCATACGACTATATAAAAGCAAATTAAAGTTCCTTGTCGATGCATACATGCATAGATAAATCCGTCAATCGCATATTCCAAAAAAAACACGATGAAGAACAATCACACAAAATGGTAAAACCCCATTAAAAATTACATCCATAACGATGAATATGATTCAGATTTTACCTTCTCGACCCATTGACGAGAATCGTCATCGAACTCGAAAGCAGGGTCATTAAGTAACTCAGCTTTCAGAGTATTGTAAACTTCGAGAAATTTGGACTTCAGATCGGTGCTCATTGTCGAATTTGCAAGTAGAAATGAGATGCTGATGATTTGTGATTTTGTTCGTCAAAGTCTAGAGAGAGAGAGTGTGTGTGTGTGTAGAGAGAGGTGGAGTTGGGTGGGGTATTTGTAAGGAGAAGATGGTGCTGTACTTTGCTGAATAATGTGAAACACACACAAGTAGTGTGTGTGTGTGTGTGAGCCTCCGGGCTTGTGAGAGTGAGTCAGTGTTGTATGGCTGCTATATTTTTCTTTTAATCCTCGTATGGTCAAATAAGAGTCGCAATTAACAAGGGGGAAATTATAATTTATAAACAATAACTTGTTCGTCTTCGTGTAATGTAGCGAGATAAATTTTTAATTTAATATTTAATTTTTATTATTTATCTCTATTGATATAATATAATTTTATGTGGTTTTAAGAAAATAATAATATTTTTATTTTTAAATTAAATATAAATTTAAAGATAATATAAAATTTTGAAAAAATAAATCAATATTAGTATCAAATTAACTATTTAAAAGTTCTCGTTTTTTGGTGTAAGT